GGGTGGGCTAATCTAACTCCTTTCTAATTCTGCCAGTCTGTCTTCTGTAGCCATATCTTGAGGTAGGGAGTTGAACTGGATAATCTGGATGTGAAAGTTGGATCAGAATGTCTGAGTTTGAGCTCTGTGCTCTTCCCCATCTCCTTCAAAAAGTGCCTCTCAAGTTCATTGTGGTAGGGGAGCACAAAGGTTTTTTTATGCTGATATTTAAAAAGAAGAATGAATTAATATTCTCAGTTTTACAGCCTTTTAGTTAAACCATTAGAATTTCATTTGGAGCAAAACTCAAGCAGTTATGGCTGCCTGTAGGACCAGAGCTCTAAATCCTGCTTTAAAAGGATGAAGAGGAACTCAAATGCCTTAGACCTTGAGATTTCAGCTTAGAGATGAGTTCTTTGCCAGCCGTAGCTGGAGCATTGATGTATTCAGGGGGGAGATCACATCTGACCTGCTTTGATTCCCCGCCCCAGGGTGTGCTTTCCCTCCCCAATTCTCTTCTGGTTGTGATTGCCTTCAAGCAGGGTAGCCAAGTTGACAGCTTTCTGGATTCCTCTGAAGTTGCAGGTAGCCACATAAAAGCAGACTGTATTCTATCTCTTGAGTTCATGTCAACGTGTAGGAAGTAAAACTAAATAAAGCCTGATTTTCATCCTTGTATTTGAGAGCAAGTGTCTTTGAAACGCGCTCCAGGGGCAGATAAACACAAAGAGTAGAAGGTGATGATGTGACCAGAAAATAGCAGTAAGAAAGTTCAGTTTGTAGCTTAAATACAGCCTTACTCACTTTGTATCTCTGTTCCTATAAACTCAACTTCAGTTGTACGTCAGTGGGCAAATAAATGCACTTCCAAAATAGCAGATCTCCAGAAGCATGTCTGACTTACAGGAGACTAATAGGTTTCTTACGATTCTAAATTATACTTCACAGCAGTTTTATTAGTGTTTCAGAAGCCTTGAAATGCTGCTTTTATTGCCCGCAGAAGTACTGAAAACATTCATCAGAACCCTTAATGGAAGGCATGGAGGCCTTTATAGCTAATCCCAGTCTATTTGCTTTTGTTATTTGACAGTGCAGATATTTTTAATATCTAGCCCAGGGTGAGCATGTAACCATCTCCAACCCATTGCCTGTGTCTAGACATGTTTTTATCGGGAATTCATTCTCTCTAGCTGAGCAGAAGGCGGTGTAATTTATGGATCCTGAAATGGGGAATTGGCAGTAAGGCTGTGTCTCATAACTGAAGCCATCAAGTGTGAGGGGTGTCTGTGAGTACACGACTGGATGGATGGATGGAAGAGCTGTCTGCAGTCCACTGCATCTGTGAATGGTTTGAGGGATCTGTTTCAAGTCATCCTTGGCTGTTGGCAGAGCGGGGAATGAAGCAACGTTTCCAGCTTAAAAGTTGTATGTAGCAGCCCAAATAAACTCTGATGTTTAGCACTGACATTATTACAGAGGTGTAGAAATCACTGAGATTTTTATTAGTTGCCTTCCAATAGTTTAAATGCTAGTCAAAGTTAGGGGAGGGCAGTGGTAACTTGGTTATTTTTTCTTTGTGTCATTTGGCGATTGCAGTCCTGTTAGGGAGGAGGTATGGAGAGGAAATTCTTGCCTGCTACGACTCTGTGTTTGAAGAGCAGTGAACCCTCTGGAAAAATTTGGAAATTGTATCAAAGCTGTGCTTACTACACACAGAAAGGTTATTGCTGCATTTTATCCCCTTCTGCTCCCTCTTTCTGTAAGTCTGCTTTTGAGCAGAGATCCCTGGTGATCCTTGACTGGGATTCCTGCCTTAACTCCACCTCTCCACCTCCTCTCTCTGTTGGCTTGGTTTCAATTATGCAAGGAAGTATTTTAACCGCAAAGCCCACTGTGATTTACCGACATCAGTTAAAACAGTTGTATGTGTTGAGCCTCCAGGATGGTGGTACCCTCTGTGGGGGCGAGGAAGGGGCAAAGAGGATCGAAGCTCTGATGTAGCTGGTGTGAGATCAGCCTTGAAAACTACTGAAAATGGGGTTGGGGGTCTGTAGGTGAGAGGGAAAATATGCCTGGCTGCTGCTTTTTCTTATTGGCAATAATGTAAAAACACTGGAAATCATGGGTTGTGATGCAATCAATTATTCAGAGCTGTGCTGCACTGTGTGAGAAATGGTTTAATCTGCCTGTGTTACACATCCACTAGCTGACGGAGGTGTTTAATTGCCTAGATCAGGTTTGTGATTATTTATTTTCCTTCTTTGTGCACCAAAGCGTATGACAGACTCCAGCTTTTTCTTTGCTTTGTTTTTTTTTTTTTTTTAAACTGTGCTTCCCAGACTGTGGAGCAGACTGTGGTAATGAAAGAGAGGAAGTTTTTGGAAAATAATAAAATAGTAACTCAGTGTCATGGAATGCCTGCAGTATGCTGTAGTACAGAGCTGCTCGAATGGCAAAGAGCTGATCCAGGTCTAGGCTCTTAAGTAAACTTGGTCCAGACTTTGTCTCACCATCTCCTGAATTCCAGTGGGGTACACTAATATGTAAAAAATATGCAATGTTTGTGTATATTTCTTGTGCTACTCTCTCGATCTCCCAGGGAGCTGGCTCAAAATATTTTGAGCGGTCTAGCTAAGGAAAGATAAAAACAGCTCCTCTAGGTAATTTCTGGGAATGGTGGATTTGGGGCAGGTCTGGCTGATGGGATGATTAACCAGTCAGTGTCCTGTTGCTTCTTTCCACCCGTGTTTCCTCTGGTGCTACTTGTGCATGTGTGGATTTTTTAATTGTCAGAGAGAGAAGTTAGGCACCTGGATTTGCATGTTTAAAATGAATGTAAAGCTTTAGGCTGAATGCTAATTTCAGGCTCGGGGAACAAGACTGTGTCCAAGGTTTATGGGCCCCTTAACTAGGGGCTCAGTCCAGCGTTCTGAGCAAATCCAAAATAATCCTGGGTTAAGCAGATGAGTTCAAAACTCTGAGCTCAATGAGTTCACAAAGGTTGTGGGCATCAAAAGTCTTGTACTTACACTTACAAACAGCAGCCCCGAGCTTCCCAACCAGCCGGGTTTTATGCAAGGAGCAGACAGAAGGCACAAACCAGTGACAGAGTCTGAGCTGGGTTATCCAGGGCCCCAGTTCCCATCCATCCCCCGGTTAAATAGGAAGCAGGGAAGTAAAAAGAAAATTTTTGTTGTTGGTTGTCTGATTTTCCTGCATTGTGAAGAAACTTAACTGGAAGGCACTAGAAAACTAAAATAGGAAGCAGGGAAGTAAAAAGAACATTTTTGTTGTTGGCTTTGTCTGTTGAGGGATTTTCCTGCATTGTCAAGAAACTTAACTGGAAGGCACTAGAAAACTCTAAAGGTGCTGATTGATTTCCTTTTTGAAAAATAGCTTGACCTGAGCAAGTGTTTGCAAGGAAGGGAGCTGGAGCTGTCAGAGTAAGCAGAGGATATTGTTTCAGGCTATATTTATTTTCACGGGGTGGCTTTTAGTCAACGAGTAGGTTACTCTGAGATGAATAGCCTGCTCCCCAGCTCTTCAAATATCCTTTCCTGTTTAGAAGGATTCTTCTTTAATCTGCTTATTGGAGTTTCCTGGAAAGTTGGTGCCTTTTCTGGGAAAGCAGAAAGAGGAACCAATAACATTTCGTTCCTGAAATGCACCTACTCCCTGAAAAGCAGCATTAAAGTGGATAAATCAACATGAGCCTGTTTCTTTGTAGCTGTGATTGCCAGCTAAACCCTTGCCAAGGGGAAAGCAGTGTGCCTTTACGCTATACTCAGGCACAAGCAGAGCTTTGTCTCCAAGCAGGAGAAGAAAATGCTGTGGCTGTGGGATGTCCTAGATGTGGGCGAATCCTTCTCAGAGCTTTCTCTTGTACTTTGGTACCAGGGAGACCTTGTGCTTAGAGGGAGGAAAGGTTCAGGGTGCCATGGGCCCTTGCTCCCCTCCTTCCTTGTCTGTTTGGGATTACAGGACTTGGCTGAGTCTGTGTTGTGGGGAGATTGAGCAGTGATTAAACCTTTGAAGAGTAAGTGACATCCATGTGTTCAGTGAAGGAATGTCTTAGCTGAGAGCGTAAGTCCAGGACATCATGGGATGAGTGTCTGGCGTGGATGATGCTGGAGGGTACAACTTGACAGGTTGGGGGGCTCAGCTGAAGCTACCAGCTTGGCTGAAGCACAAAGGCCCAGCTGGGTGTAGAGCAGGGTGCCAGGCTTGGCTTAATGGATGGCTTTTGTCTATGGAGAGTCAAAAAGCTGCGAGGCTTTGTGTCCAAACTGCTGATTTGTGCCTGCATAATGAAAAATCAGTCAATGCTTTCTGTGCCGCTGTTCCCTCCGTAACCTGGAAAACCTCAACCCTTCACCCGTAACCAAATCTGAGAATATCATCGATCAAAACTCAAAACAATTTAATATCTGAGCATATTTCATATTGTAGTCCATCGGTGGTAGTATTAGTAACAATTTCCTAATCTCAGACTGATTTCCCCCTTCTTCCAGTATGACAAAAGATATAGCTGTCCTTTGTGCCTTCAACCTGATTGAGCTAAGCCATCTGCTTTCCTGCTGGGAAGAAACATTAGGAATAAGAGGCCTTTTTTTTTTCCCCGGCAGCAAATATTTCCCTTTCTCATCCAAATGATAGTCTTCAACAGATTAAGCATCTGTTGTGTAGTGTCTCACTGACAGGAGGAGTCAGCGTGAACTTCTTAGGTAACAAACTGGTGTGAATTTTCAGGAATATTCTGTTGTCACTGCACGTTGCCTTTGCCAAGAGGCTTTTGGTAAACTTTTTTTTTTCTTCTAGTCAGACAGGAAATGCACCCTAAAATACCTTTGGGCCCTAGTATGATGCAGGTTGAATGTTAAGAGTATTTTTGAATTTTCTACCTCTAGTTTCTAGGTATCCTTTTTCTTTGCACTCTCTTTGTGTCTTGAGGAAGAGAACTTCTGTGCCCGAGGAATAATAATTACTGGGTCCAACTGCTAATGCGTTATTTTTCTCTACAGAAAGAAATTCAAGCCATGAGTCAGTGCCATCACCCCAACATTGTATCTTACTACACATCCTTCGTGGTGAAAGATGAGCTTTGGCTGGTGATGAAGTTACTTAGTGGAGGTGAGTGGTCCGATTTCCTTACCCTAAAAGGCAACCTAAAAAGCTGTCTTCCTGTAACACCCGTTCCCTTGTTTCCCTCCGAAGCTTCCCACTGGTGAATTAAGTCATGTGAATAATGAAATCTAACTTCAACCCATTCAGCTCAGAAATAGCTTCTCATGTTGTATGCATCAGTAGAAAAACCGAACTACATGACTCTGCTAGCTTTTCTTCCCCTCCTATTTTGTGTATTTGACAGTATTTCGTGGTTATTTTGTATGTGTTTGCTGAATGACTCACTTGAGTATTTGAAAACTGCAGCTTATGACTTCAGACATTGACAAGAGAAATGTAAGTGCAGATGTAGTAGTTGAAACGACCCTGAAGTTCTAGAAAATAAATCTCACTGTCATCTTCTCAAGTGATGGATCTGAAATGGTGCTTCTTGGGTTGTGTTAGCAAAAAAAAAAAAAAGGCCCTGTAAAGCCTTGGAAGAGCTTTTGAACTGGGTAAGTGTGCAACCAACTCCACCAAGCCCAACTGTTTCCACTAGCTTTATCCTGAGACCTTCAACTCCTCTTGCAAGGCTGGTTCCTTGACCTTTTTGTCACTTGCAGCTTGGAGGGCTGCATGATGCTGATGGCTTGTTGGTAACCAGCTATTCTTTTGATGTTGGCTGCCCTTCTGAGGAACTTCTAAATCACCTCTATTTCAGGCAGAGCTATTCCTATAATGTCAGTGCATGGCCTTAAAAAGGGTGGAGAATATCAGTGTGGGTGCAGCTTGATTTGTGTGGTGTCGTTGCTCAAAGCTGGGTTACTTTGCCCACTTGTTCTAGTCGACAAAATAACTGGGAATACTTGGGACAATTTCAAATTACCACTTCATTAACACAGAGCCAGGGAAACTTTCCCCCTTCTGGATTTATTCTCAGACACTGGAGAAACAGCTTTTTTTTTTTTTCTTTTGAGAGTGTTTGAAAACTTCTTATCAGTAATGCTTTATTTGATGTCATAATATTTTCCAGGAACCCTGTTTAAGTTACAGTCATGAAAAGGGAATCGAGTTCTGGATGATAACACATAGGACTGCTGCTAAATCTTAGGCCCGTCTTTAGGAAGACTTGATTTTCCTGGCACCCTAGTGAGGAGGAATTGAAAGCTGAAAAAAACCCCAACTGTTTTCTTGCTTTTTATAAAAACTTTTTGGCTTCTCTGTTTTTGGCTCAATACCGAAGACTGGAAAGTGCCAGAAGATGATGTGGAAAAATCTGGCTAAACCTGTTGGCTTTTTCCACAAGAGCTCGACAATGACCATAAAACATGTGTCTTTTGAAGATCTTCTGTAGAAAACTTTAGCAGTTCTCTTGGGGACAAGCAAATTTTATGCCAACTTAAGTCTGTCTTAAATGGTTTTTAATGCCTCATGTGCTTATGTGTCATTAAGTAATACCATCTCTTTTCCTGGAGGGACGTGTAACAGGTCATTAAAGATGTGATTGCTGTTTGTGTGTAGAAAAGAATCCCCTGCCAGCATAATGCAAGTAGGTTTTTTTGTGTGTCTAAAAAAGTGTATCTAGGGGAAGGTTTCCACAGCATGAGGAAATGGCGTTTCAGGGGTGCAGGAGAGACAGCAGCAATGTTCTTGGCCTTCTTCAGGAGAGTACACAACCTCTTTGAAGAAAATGTACAGCTGCCTTAGCTAGTATTTTCACAGCAGTTTTCTGTCGGAACCAAGTCAGGATTAGGCTCATCCTTGATGCTCCAAGTGTTGCTTTTGTTTGTCCTCTTTTTTTTTTTTTTTTTTTGTAAAGGTTGGAAAAAGAATCAGACTTTTTATGGACTATCTTTTCATTATCAAGGTACTACAAATGTCAAGACTGGACTGGAAAAATTCTGGAAAAGTAATCATTGCTTCAGAACGAGCCCCTTGGTGGTGCGAATGATGACCTGTTTGTCATTTAATATTCACTTTGAATGGGCTTCCACATTATACAGACTGAGAAGTGACCCTTGTGCAGCTCTGGCATTAAATGAGGTCTTTTCAGTAAAGTAGTGCTATGAAATCATGAAGATGATCCTAGGGCTGGAGCACCTCTGCTCTGAGGATGAGCTGAGAGAGTTGGGGTTGTTCGGTCTGGAGAGAAGAAGGCTCTAAGGAGACCTTATGGCAGCCTTCCAGTATCTGAAAAGGTTGGAAAAAGAATCAGACTTTTTATGGACTATCTTTTCATTATCAAGGTACTACAAATGTCAAGACTGGACTGGAAAAATTCTGGAAAAGTAATCATTGCTTCAGAACGAGCCCCTTGGTGGTGCGAATGATGACCTGTTTGTCATTTAATATTCACTTTGAATGGGCTTCCACATTATACAGACTGAGAAGTGACCCTTGTGCAGCTCTGGCATTAAATGAGGTCTTTTCAGTAAAGTAGTGCTATGAAATCATGAAGATGATCCTAGGGCTGGAGCACCTCTGCTCTGAGGATGAGCTGAGAGAGTTGGGGTTGTTCGGTCTGGAGAGAAGAAGGCTCTAAGGAGACCTTATGGCAGCCTTCCAGTATCTGAAGGGGGCCTACAAGAAAGCTGAAGGGGGACTTTTAACAAGGGCATGTAGTGATAGGATGAGGGGTAATGACTTCAAACTGGAAGAGGGGAGAGTTAGATTAGATAGTAGAAAAATTCTTTCCTGTGGGGGTGGTGAGACACTGGAACAGGTTGCCCAGAGAAGCTGTGGATGCCCCATCCCTGGAGGTGTTGAAGGCCAGGTTTGATGGGGCTTCGAACAGACCGGTCTGGTGGGGGTGTCCCTGCCCAGGGCAGGGGGTTGGAACTAGATGATTCTTCCAACTTAAACTATTCTATGATTCTACAGTTCTAAATCTCGCTGCTTATCTTATTCTGTTGCATATGTTGAAGATTAGGGTCAGACAATAAAAGATGGACTAGTAGCAGTGTAATACCTCCCGCTCAATGCTTCCATGAGCCAGTGTTATTTTTTTTCATTTAAAATGAAACATTTAAGGGTTGGGAGAACTGCTAAAATAGATAGAAAGACTTTGAGAATGACCTGTTGCTCCTTTTTATGGAGGAAGGTACCTTGAGAAGTATTTTTTAGCTGTTTTCACTGTATACTTTTTTCACAGCTGTACTTCAGAAATCTCATCTTACATCTCACAGGCAAATTCTACAGGACAATCAAGAGGATGGGTGAAGAAGCTTGTGTATTGGAGCCTTCTGGCTGAAGAGCTTTTTCATTCACTTTTAATGAGGCTATTTCCAGTTGGTTTTAGGCTGAGTGATTTATGTAACAAGAGACACTTTAAAAACCGCTTCTCATTCCTTTCAGCTTACTTCTTATCACTAATAAACTGGCTAGTTTTATAGTCATCTGTTGTCCAATGAGAAAAATAATGCTTTGACTTTCTCAATAGAACAAACCTTTGAGCTGTTTTTATAGACCACCAAGGAGGGGTGAAAAAGCCCCCCCAAACCAGGGTGCAGGCTAACTCTTTTATTCCACCTAACTGTTCAGAGAGCACAGACTGAGATTCGTACATCCCAGTAAGCACGTATCAAATCTGTTTTGGTTCTGTGTCTTGATTGTGGCTTTTGTACTTGAGAATTTCTTCTGAGTAAAAGTTTAGAGCTTTATTGTTTGTCTTCCATCAGTGTCAGCATATGTTGGCATGTGTTTTCAGGCTGAAATTAGTTTTAATTTCTACCTACGTAGAATGACCTTATTACTTTGATAAACAGCCCACAAGACAGACCAGTCTGTAATGCATGTCGTTGTTGTTGTTATAAGTGCAATTTAAATTATTTTCTAGTTGCAGTCATTTTGTTGAAATCTTAACCTAGTCATTGAGTATTTGAGAAATGTCTCTAAGGGAGAATACCCTAAATCCATGAAGTCTTGTTGTCTGGTAAGAGCACCTTGTTCTTCTCAGCAGCCAGCCGGTGCGTACAAAGGTAGCTTAATTGCATGACTGACGTTGCTGCTGAAAGGGAATTATTTGTCTGAGCTTTGCAAGTGCTGGGTTGGTGGAAGACACCGTTTTTCATCTCTGAAAGTGGCCGGCAGTGAGGAGGTCGTGTCCCAGTGAGCTGTTGGGGAGTAGCACCTAAAACTGCTAATGTGCATCGGAGCCAAGTCAGGCTGGTTGAAGTTCCTGCTGAAAGCTGTTGGAACCGGCAGATTTGACACCGAAGCAGATGTAGAGCATAGTTGTTACTGATGGCAGAAGTGTGCCTGTGACAATATCCAGCTGGTAGTGACAGGAGGTGCTGGTGTGTCCGGTTACTCTGACACCCTCTTCCAGATCTGGTGATGTGCCTGGGTCAGGTTTGTGAAGCATCTGCTCTTTCTGTTCCCTTCCAAAGGAATTTCAGACCCTTTCTTACAATGATGAGGCTGCTTTGTAGGGATCCAAGCTTAGCAATGTCAACTTGGCACCCGGGCCTTTTGGTCCAATGTTACTTCAAACTGCAATTCCAATGGCTATTTCGAGGCAGTTGCTGACCTGCTCTTTGCCTCGCTGGCATTCCCCTGTCATGAATTTTACTCGTGCCTTTTTAAAGCCATCTGAAGCCCAGGCCTGCTCTCGAACTCCTGTGGCTTTTTAGTAGGAAGAGGAGCAGCTGTCCTTTTGTTCTTGTCCTTTTTCTGGCTGTGACCTGTTTGCTCCTCTAAATTCTCACTGGTTTTAACAAGAGCTCTGATTTCACAGGTGACCCAAGGCCGTGGCTAACTCTTTACAAAACAGTTGCTCGTATGAAACAGCCGTCTGTGGTGACTTGCTACATCACACAACAATTCTTACTGTCCTAGCCTACAGCAGATGAGACCTCCAAAATATTTTTAAACTGTGTCAATCCTTTAAATATTGAAACACTTCCAGATAGGGCTTTTGGATCTCCTGCCTTCTTGAAGGCTTCTAATTAAAACTGCTAAGGAGATTACTGTATTGAAATAGCTAAACCTTTTATTTTCCAAAAGTTTTTAAGATTATCTAATCAACC